AAGATCGACATGTGACATACCGCGAAATTCAGGCAACTTTTACGCATGAACAATTAGGTGTAAAAAAGTTGTTTTCCCGATGGATACCGCATTCGCTCTGTGAAGAGCAAAAAGCGGCTCGCGTTACTTGGTGCGTCAGAACTCTCGAAAGATTCCACGCAGGATCCTCAAATGCTGTATACAACATCGTATGAGGTGACGAATCCTGGATATATGCGTACGAACCCGAAACAAAAAACCAGTCACGAGTTTGGGTGTTCGAAAATGAGTTAAAGCCAACAAAAATTGTTCGTTCACGGAGTGTTGCAAAAAAAATGGTGGCCACGTTTGTCTCCAAAACCGGCCATGTTACGACTATTCCTCTTGAGGGATAAAGAACGCTTAATGCAGAATGGTATTATAGCATTTGTTTGCCACAGGTCGTTTCTGAACTCCGTAAAGAGAACTGCAACCGCCGCATCATCCTCCATCACGACAATGCGAGTTCTCACACCGCACACAGAACAAAAGAGTTTTTAGAGCAAGAAAACATAGAATTATTAGACCATCCGCCGTACAGCCCCGACGTTAGCCCTAATGATTTCTATATTTTCCATACAATAAAGAATAAATTGCGTGGACAGAGATTTTCATCACATGAAAAAGCTGTGGACGCCTACAAAACGGCCATCTTGGAGACCCCAACTTCCGAATGGAATGGTTGCTTCAATGATTGGTTCCATCGTATGGAAAAATGTGTCAAATTTCGCGGAGAATACTTCGAAAAGCAATAAATACATTTTTAAATAGTAATGTTGTGTCACTTCCTTGATTCCCGAAATTTTCAGTGCCGCCCTCGTACCAACGTAAAATATCAGCTTAACACTGCTGTGTTTCGTATGGTGAGTGTAGAGAACTGGAGACCCATTTTACTGGAAAAAGGGCATTCCATCTTAGTCCTCATGGGTGACAACGCATCTGCATTTTGATTCTTTATTGAGGATAGATGTCGATATCTATTGGCCGCCTCAACCACTTACCATGAGGTCGACTACAACGAGTACACCGTTTGTCACCCTATCCTATAAAAAAAATTTAACAAAGTTAAAAGCGAGTTATAAATGGTACTTGACAATTCAACCTTATTAATAAAAATTCAAAATAATTTTCATTTGCATTCAGAAACAGAGCGCCCTCGAGTTATGTTTTTATGAATATTTTTTTTTTAAATGGTTTGAACTGCGTCTGTGTTTTGGCATCATGCCAAAAGCTTGTATCCTTTCAACTTTATATCACTGTAGCTGAATGATATTTCAAAATTTAGGTTAAAATTATAATTGTGTAAGTAATATTATGGTTGTTGGTATGTATTTTCATTTGTATGATCTATCATAGAATTCAACTGCAGATGATTCGAAAAGACAGGATTGGAACTTTTAAATTATATCTATACTTTTTTTCAGTATTAAAATCGACTTTCGTCAGGTGTTGGTTTTTTCTTGACATACAAACTTAATATTACAAGTGGTAATTTTTTTTTTACAACCGACTTCAATATAAATAAAATGAGAACATCATGAATTTAGTTGAAGTCGATAACTCAAAAATTACTGGTCATATCTAGATCAAATTTCTATGGGATCACATGAAAAGCAGCAGCTTTCAAATAAAACAATAAGATAAAAAAACATAATTATCAAAATCGGTTCACCCAGAAAAAAGTTCTGAGGTAACACAGATAAAAGAAATCTTAGTAACGGTTGACCCTGCAGGCCATCCCTTTAACTTATCACTTATTTTTAAGTGCAACGCTCGAAAATGTATTTTTTTTTTTTGTTGAAAATCATTGAAATCGCCCGACCGATTGACTTAAAAATCTAAAGGCGGCTCTTCACGTTGGCCAACATAGTGGTGAATGTGTAGGCCAATACTGATGGCCATCGTGTAGAGCGGGTGTTTGTGCTTCACTTGGTATGTACTGGAATGATGGCCCACAAGTTGTCGCGAGATCCGTGTGGTGTCGGTTTTTTACAAAAGATCAAAGGGTTGTGGCCGAGTATTGTGCTCCGCGTCCACACGTTAGGCGCACGTTAAGTTTCCTACGAGCTCCCAGAGTGATCGCACGTACCTTATTTAAATTTTATAAATCACGCATCGTAACTAGTGTCTACAAAATGGCAGTGGCCAATGAAGAAACTTCGCTTTACAGATTAAGTGATAGCGTCCACACGTTGGAAGGTCGTTCAGTTTGTTTCGGTTCAAGCTAATGTGCGGACGAATTTATTAAAATGGATATTGAGGCGCAAACGGTTGCTGCGGTTATTTATTCACAGCATACCGCTACTACGTGAATGTGTATAAGAAAAGATTGATCAAGAGGAAATTGAAAAAATAAATTTTATTTCTTGTGTTCCACAAATAATTTTCGGCTTGGTAAAGCTCTATAAAGCGAAAAGTTTCATCATTCATTCAAGTCATTGTTACTGCCATTTTGTAGACACTAGTTACGTTGCGTGAATATAAAATTTAAATCTAGTGCGTGTGCTCACTCTGGGAGCTCGTAGCAAACTAAACGTGCGCCCAACGTGTGGACGCGGCAGCCAATACTTTGTTACAACCCTTTGATCTTTTGTAAAAAATCGACACCACACGGATCTCGCGCCAAATTGTGGGCCATCATTCCAGTACATACCAAGTGAAAAGCACAAACACCCGCTCTACGCTATGGCCATCGGTATTGGCCAACACATTCGCCACTATGTTGGGCAACGTGAAGAGCCGCCTTAATATCTTTGCCAACACATTCGCCACTATGTTAGACAACGTGAAGAGCCGCATTATAAGCTCGAAGTCTCGATAAACACTTTCGAACGCCGTGTCGCCCATCTCGATCGCTTGATTCGTTTTAAAGACGACGTACGACAAAAATTTATTTTTCCTTCTTCATAAGTAATTTAAAAATTCTGCAATATGTCCAGGAAATGACCAACACTAATTTCATTATTGAGTAGGCGTAATTCTATATCCTGTATAAATTCGTCTCTTTTAATGTACGTTTGCAATCGTTTTGTAAATTCCTTTGTTACAACAGATATGTTAGCAAAAAACTGGGCATTTTTTTGCAAGCAATCTAAAACTACTAAATTTGAATGTTTGTATTTAATTTCATTTGATATTGTTTTATACAAAGATTCCAATGAATTTGTAGTTCTGTGAGACACTCAGAATGAATTCCAAACAGCCACATCAATTTCGTCCTTGAGCCATGTATTTTAATAGTAATTCCCAAACGCCATCATAGTATCACCATTATTTAATGACGTAAATTATGTTACATCGAATGATATGTAATTGAACAGTTAATTAGTATTTCAGTTTTGACCTTTAAACAAGGAGTATGTATGTATTTTTACAAGTATGCTTAAGTCTACTAAGTAATCTTACGCCAGTTTCTGTCATGTTTTATAAACGACTGACACAGCCGAGCGAGAAAATAGGAAGGAAAATAATATACGAATTCCGATGAAAACTTGCATTCTCAAAATCTCTTTCTCGGAATGAAATCTATAACTTCCTACTTTTGAAAATTATTAATTTTCAAAGCGGGATCTTTTTTGAAGTCGGTTAAATAATAGCCTGTTTTTATATGAAAAAATTAAATTTATTTAGCGTTAAGATTAAGATTTAGATTTAAGAAGATTTTCACGATAAATACAGTCTCTGCTCGTGGTCGTTCATTTCGTTTAAAAATGGTCGAGAATTGCGATGGGTGTCAAGTACGTCATACTTGTGAACAGGTGCTGCTACCGACCGCTAGTCGGCTCGGATATACGTATACTAAATATTACCCACAACGTGATGTTCATGTTATAGACCATTTTATATTACTTTGTAATGACTTTTCCCGAATTGCTTGGAATTGTTGTTTTTTGTTTGATAAAAACTTGGAGAAATCAATGTATTATTCAAACATGAAAAATCGAAGACTTCGTTCAAATCACCGGGTTTGTTCTTCACAAAGGTCCCTTAGTACTCCCGGATGTCGTAGGCTCGTTCGCTTAGAGTCGCTTTTAAATGTCCAAAGTAGTTCTCACGAACTCTAGTGTTTTCGAAGTAATTATCCTCGTCATCTCTGAAAACATCGATCATTTTATCAACCAGACACCTATGGTACAAGATAGCATGTTAGATAGTGTACACAATTATCAATTTTGTTTGTAAATTTCATATATATTTTGCGGACATTGTAAACGGGTAAGTGTTCTAAGAGATAACTTAAAATGAAAATTAAAAAAGAAACTCCGAAACAAAAAGAGCTGACGATCTTCAAATGGCTCAAAAGATTTTTCCTTGAATCATAGCTAAGGAGATTAGATCAAGTCACCGTTCAACCAAAAAAAAAAATATAAATCGGTTCATTCGTTTGGGAGCTACGATGCCACAAACAGTCACACAGATACGCAAATATACAGGTACACACATACACACATTGAACATATAACACCTCTATTTGCGTCGGGGGTTAAAACTACACGTTGAAACTAATTTTACGAATTTCATCGCGTATAGTTATAGTTAATAATAATAATAATTTATTGCTTTAAAAGAAGTAGTAAGTTGTTAATAGTTAGTTGCATAAAGTTTTTTTTTCTTTAATTTGTTTTTGGGATTTTTTGTCAGAATGACATGCCAATCCCATCATATCTTATACTAATTACTGCTAACATTAGACCAAATAAAAATGTATAATTGTGAGTACTAATTAAATTACTAACCTAAAAAGAAACTTATACTGAAGAAGAGAAGATATTTATTCCGTCCTAGAAGCAAGCCGGAATAACCCTCTTGACATCTTTGATTTGGGGTTTGATAAAACCATTTGTACTAGATCGACATCCAAAACATTTGCGTTAAATGCTTTCAACACAGCCTATCTTTTTCATTCTTGACACACTCCAAAAAAGTAATAGTCATAGTCGCATAGTTAGTTAAATTATTATTTTTTGTTTGTCCTGTCACAGGTAAAGGTATGGCACATTCCTCCAGAAGGCTTGAAGGAATCACTTTCAACGCCAGAGTGCACACTGTCACAAAAGCAACGGAGGGTTGAGAATGTCGGCTTTCACCCAGTTGCAGATGGCCTTATCCATGTCGCTTCAGGTCATGAACTTGCTCTCTGGGACCTGACGAAACAAAAGGAAGTATTTGGTAAGAAGTTTAAATATTCTACTATCGTTGACGCTAATAGAAAACTGTGAAAATCGTACAGCTAGGCTAGGGTAGGTTACATCATAGGTCGCATAGATTTGAAGGTTCGAAACATATATTGTTAAATTTCTCGTCTGTTTGTGCTGTGATTGTCCTAAGCTCTACGTACCTCCGGTCTTTTCGCATAAAAACGTTACTTCGGACTTGTGTAGTGATGGTATTAGAATATCCACTACCCCATGTCGTCCCGTAGGTGTCGTAAGCGGCGGCACAGGGAAACTGAAACAGGAGATGGCCAGCAGTACCTTTGCCTGGTAGCAACAATAAAAAAAAAACTGTGGTTGCCAACCCGCCTGTCGAGCGTGACAACTGTGGCAAAGATGGGTGGACTTCGTAGGACTTCACTAACCGCATCCGATTGTATGTTTCCCCGTTTTTAACCACGTTTTTATTAACTTGCTTTGTCGTATGTCTGCCTGTTGGATATAAATTTTGCAGTCGAATTTTAACTTCCGATGAGGAAACTTTATAACTCAGAACTTGGTAGAACGTGTTTAGAAAGTGTTAGAAAATGGTGACCATTTTGAATTGTAGTTTTACTGATAACATAGCATTCCGTCTTAGTACTCACGTTTGAAAATGCTTTTGCAATTTGATTCTTTAAATAAGACTCACGCAATACAACGAAACGTTTACGTGATAGAGCCACAGAGTAAAGAGTAAAGACCAGGGAAGGTTCCTAACAACGTCGAAAATCTACCTGATGGATGTGAAAATTTTAAGCAAAAAATAAAAATATTATATAGTATAAAACAACATGTGTATTCATTGTAACTTAAGTTATATACTATAATACGATTGGTGTGGTAACACCCTAATAGTGGTACATGGACAAAATATCATCTCTTATCGTTGCTTCGGCTAATATGGAGACATTTCGTCGTACCAATGATTCGTTTGACTGCCACGCTAAGTATCGCGGATCCGAATCTCCCGTGAACAAGTGTTTTTGTGGTCTAAAAATAATAGTTCCTGGTCTGGATGTTTGTCTATGTGCAATTTATTCATGTAAAGTGCCTCCACGTTACAGAAGAAACTACTGGCGTGGGGTAGCTTTTTTTAGAAGTAGGTAGACCAATAAGAGTCCACTATCCTTATCACGTCGTGGGTGTTGTGAGTGGCGACTTTGAGATATTCCAGGAAAATTCTTATGGCTTGCTATAGAAGGCGGCGCAACCTATTTGTTTTAAACAGACGCGAGATGTCTTGTACCGCGATCGTCAACATGTCATACAACGGGGAAGGCCCATGTCTTACTGTGGACTTAGTTCAGGGTTATTTTATTATATGGGATAAGGGAATTTTAAGACTTGTTTGCTGTTTATTGCTGGATAAACTACCATCAGCACTCTAGCCCATCTCGTAAAAGTCCACTATTGAATATAAATTCCAAAGATAATTGCCTGTCCCTACCATGTCCTAGCTAATCAGATCGTCGCGCCATCTAATGGGGGAACTACACTCGAGAACTTTCCCTCGTCGATATTTTGTTCTATTTATAGAGTATGGGTGATAAACAAGCGCACAGTCCACCTCATGGTGAGTGGGATTTGTGGCCCATAGATTCTAACATCTATCTTCCATTAAGAATCAAAACGTAGATACGTTGTCTCCCCTGAGGACTAAGAAAGAATGCCTCCTCACCTGTTAAAAGGGTCTACGTTTCTCTACAAGTTCTCTTAGATATATTTGGAAGACCATTGACATTTCAGCTAATTAATCTGCTAAGCTATATTAGTTACTCTTGGTCTTGTTCTACTGCGAATTTTCCTATTACGAATTGAATAACTGTTAACGCAGTCACCATTAGTCGTTTCGGGGATCGCGTTACCTGGACTTTTTTCCCTCCACAGTAAACAAAGAGCATTCAGAAGTGATCCAGTCGACGTCCTGGAAGCAGGACGGTCGTTTGCTGGCGACGTCGTGCAAAGACAAAAAGGTGCGGGTCCTTGACCCTCGGACCTCGAGTCCCGTGTTAAGTGTCGCGTCCAGTCACCAGAACATCAAGGACAGCAGGCTCGTGTGGTTGGGAGACAGTGACAGGATATTGACTACCGGTGAGTTGTTTTACTATTAAAGTAATTTTTTTACGTGCGTAGGTACGTGCAGCCATGCTGCAGCTATATTAGTAGTATAGTTGTAGCACGAATGGGTTGGCTCGACCGGGGAAGGACCACTCTCTCACAGAATACCAGCGTCAAATAGCAGCTTAACACTGCTGTGTTTCGTATGGTGAGTGTAGAGAACCGGAGACCCTTTTACTGGAAAAGAGGCATTCCCATCTTAGTCCTCACGGGTGACAACGCATCTGAATTTTGATTCGCAAACGAGGATAGATGTAGATGTCTATGGGCCACAGCAACCACTTACCATCAGGTAGACTGTGTGCTCGTATGTCACCCTAGCCTATAAAAAAAACAACTTTAGTAACAACTTTTATACGGAAGCTATTTATTAAATAAACTCTATTATGTCACACTGTTAGGCACTTAGAGAGTTATGGAACCAGGAATGAGTTCGACGCACTGTTCCATTGCGATTTGGCTTCCAAGTTTCCGTGCTCGCTAAATATATTTAAATTTCTCAGAAATGTAAGCTTCCTCACGTTATTATATTTGACCGTCGACATGTGGTAAGTGAGCAATTAAAAATGCTATTAACAATTTTAATGGTGCCGGTGGGCATATATCTCGGCCAGCTCAAGTAGTTAGATACTCATGGACTGAGATTGTAGTACATTCTTTAATGCTATATTATCATTAGCGCTGTTTACATTAATTACCTTTTTCTCTCTATAAATTTAAATTAAATTACGAAAAAAAGAAACTTGCTTTTCTTAACAAAATTACATCTTGTAACTGTAAAATAATTTGCAACTAGATAATGTGACCGTTAGTGAAGGATGTGGCTGGTGGATTTTTATTCCACAACGCGTCATAAACCGCACGGAAATCTGATCATAAGATCAATATAAACACCTCTTGTGTATGCGTTTAACAGTTTGCGTGATTTCAATTTTTACCCGATACGTCGAAGCTTGAAGTCAAAGGTTTTACAATTTAAACGATGTTCGTTTTAGCAGGAATATTTATAGACTACCTATCTCTAAAAATACCTACATATATACCGTATATTTTAATATTATGAACTATTTTTATAAATGGGGTACTTGTTGTTTTAAATCCATTGACCAGGTCGTCACTCCATCTAGTGGGGGGACGCACTACACTTCGTCTGCCGGTATGAGGCTGCCACCCCAGAACCTTTTTTTACCATCGGTTGTCGGTTCTTCGAGCTATATGGTCGGGCCATTGCCACTTCAGCTTACTAGTCCTTTGGGCTGTGTCGGTCACTCTGGTGCTACTGCGGATATTCTCATTTCTAAGTTTATCACGCAGAAAAATCCCGAGCATGGCCCTCGCCATAGCTCGCTGAACGAAGTTGAGCTTCCTCATACGGCCAGCAGTGAAGGACCACGTCTCAGTTCCATAGGTCATCACTGGCAACACGCACTGGTTGTACATGGCTGTGTGTAAGCCCAATTCGGAAAATCAAAGAGCGAATGACTGGCAGCATTGGATATTTACACGAAGAAATTCAATCCACTTTCGGTCGCCATAACTCAAAAGCTATTAGACCTACACTGAAATGCAAACTTCATGAATAACTATTATATAAGGGGAGGTTCAGCCACAATTAAGTTGATAATTTTGTCCCTGTTCTCACTACACAGGTCTAAATACTCGCGCGAACACTCGACTTACTGTTACTGCTTAGCGGTGTGAGCACCCATCATGCACTCACCTTAGACATACCAAGATTAAATATATTATAAATCATTGGTTTTTCCAGGGCAAGCGTCCCCGTAAACAGATGACATCTTTTCCATACTGGTATGTGGCGTTTTTCCTTGCTTAGTGAGGAACTTATTCACGGCACGGAACCCAGTTTTGTCCATAGTTAGTGTTCACTTCCAGATTGGCGATTGACCTGATTGATTAAAGAACCGATCTGGATGAAACTTGGTATTTATAGTTGTACTAGCTGGCCAGGCAGACGTTGTACTGCCCTTTTCGACGACTCTTCCTATAAAAAAAAATCATAAATTCACAATTAAAAATTTTTTAAGTGTCACTTAGCGGGATAAAAACTATCCTATCTCTCAAGTTGGACCAAACTGCACACAGTGTGCAAAATTTCATTGAAATCAGTTCAGTAGTTTAGGAGTTCATCGCGGACAAACAACGTGACACGTAATTTTTATATATAAAGATTGAGTTACTGAGTAGTGACAATGAAAAAAAAAATCCCCCGTCCCTCTCTAACCTCTCCATTTCGCGAACTTTCCCTCCATTTCGAGAACTTTCTGACCCGCCTTCGTAGTTTTTGAATTCTTAGGGCCTGAAAAATGCCATTCTTAACACTTTCTGATTCACTGACACATTCATCAAAAACGTAAGTTATTTGTCATCAAGATAGAATTAAGCGTGTACAAAGGAAAATAACTGAAAACTACAAATTATCAATATTCAATGTCAATTGTGAACAGGTGTTGACAAAGTTATTGGCGCTGTTAGTTTGAATTCCTATTTATATAAATATTTTGCCTTTATTTCGAATTAAAAATAGAAAACAGTGAAGCGTAAACGTAAAAATTACGTACGTACATTGGAGGTCAAGAATTTTATGTAGATTAACATAAGGAATTCAAAAATACAAAAATTTATGATAAGGCTTTAACTAGCCTGAATGACCTTGACGAAACGGCGATCGCAGAGATTTTAGCCGATGTCAACACCGTCTAGCAACTACGTTTTGTATTACTTATAAAAGTGCAAAGATTAATAGACTGTAGAGATGACAATTATATAAGTGACATACTGCCTGTTATGCTTGCGCATCACTGAGAATTATGTCGCGGTTACGCATCTTCAATTACATTGCACGGTGTGGTGCTGTAGCTTTGTCCGGTAGGCATCACGAGCTATCAAGTGTTCAAGTTTCAAGTACGTAAGATTTTTTATTATATATATTAAATCGTATTTATTTGTGTCGTATTAAAAATATGTCGTCAAAGCGTTCGCTGTAAATTTTCCCGGGTTTGATCCCCGACAGCACGAATGAAATTTGTGATTGCAATTTTCGTCAACACGCATTGGGGAAGCACGGCGGGCATTTCCTTGCCCTATAACCCTCTCAGAAATAAAAGTCCTGTGCCCAGTTAAAAGTTTTATCACATGGCTAAATGATTGACTTGTATAGCCTATTACTTTACTTTGTAGCAATATTTATATTCGCTTCAGATATAGAAGGGTACCTTATGCTGACAAAAATATCATGTGGAGGCGACGAAAACGTAAAACATCTTTGTACCTAGATAAAACGTTCGAAAGATTGTCAGTCATGTCATACGCCACATTTTCTATAGAGCGTAGAACATTGCAGATAGGGCAAAATAAAAAATAATCCAATATATTATGGGAACTATTTATTAATAATATATACATTTATAGGTATTTATAATAAAAATAATGAACAAGCTGCAAGGTTCAACTAATAATGTTTTTTTGTAAACACAATCGTAAAATTCCTGTTTTAATTTTTACCAATGGTTAATTGATGAAACGTAGTCAAGATCACTTCATATAAAATATATTTAATTAAAATTGACACGTGACCTATTTGGCCTTCTACTTACAACTCGGCGGAAATTTGAAAAGAAGATTTTGTCTTTTCACACAAATATTGTTTACTACTGGCGTGGTTTCGAAAAGCGTGATTAAGTGTCAGCGGTATATAATCAATTAAATACTGAACTTTATTGAAATTTATTTTTTTATTTATTTTTGTTATATCTTCTTAAAAACTGACGCCATCTCACTATTTCATTATTTGTTTTTTTTTGTACGCATAAGGATAAATTAGACTAAGTTAGATTAACTTGGATAAGTTTATATTTTTTTTAATTTTATCACAAAATTTCCGCAATAAATTATTACCTTTTCTACAGTGATTCTCTCCTCTTAGTTTCGGCGTGACTGTAGGATGTTATAGTGAGTCACCGTCAGTTACTAAGCGGCCATAAATCATTATATGTATGTATAGACATACATATATACATTTTTTGATTTTAATATTTATGTTTTTTGAATTTTGATTGATATTTTGAAACCTGGTAAAATTACTTTTTTCCATACCAATTGATGGGCCTGAGTATAATGCCAGTTATGCTCTTTGGCTGAAGTTATTTTTTATTTTATGCTCAATTGCAGACAAAACAATATTGATTGCGCATTTTTAAAACAAAATTTTACCTCTTCTCCTTCTAATAATAGCTCCTGCACCTAACACGGCGGAATAGTTATTATTATCTATAAGACCATTTGGGAAAACAGTTTTTGTTAACAGTTATGAGTGTAACATTTTATCAGCTGCTTTGTTTATAGTGCCTTGAGCAACACTTTGCCGGTTTCTGTACAGAAAATGATGCTGGCTTTGCAAATACGGATGGCCGCTACCATTGAATATAATTCCCGCTGCATAAAATTCTAAATAGCACTTTTTACACAAGAAAGTAAACTTTTAGATCAGTCCATTTTGTTTTTCACTAATTAAGTAAAAAGTAAAACAAACCAGTAGGGCCGGGAATTAAAATTTCTTGCAACTTTTTATAGAAAAGCATGACCTTATCATAATATAAAAGTCAATCATTTAGCCATGTGATAAAACTTTTAAGTGTGCCAGTCAAACTTAATGATGATATTCGGGTATGATATACTGGAAATAGTCTTTTAAATATTTTGTAGTACAATTGATAATCTTCAGTATGATTGACCGTGTATATGACTTTTATAAGTCTATGTTATTTTTGACGAAAATTATTATTGCAGATAAAAGCCCTTTCACATTTATTTTAGTCTCGAATTAAATTAATCAAAATGAAAATAATAACATTGGCTTTTTATAACTGATCTTTAAATGTAAACACTGACTTGAAATTATATAATTATTGGCATTTTTTAATTCATTGAACTTTTTTAAGATTTTGTTAAAACTC